CAATGGGGCGGACATAATGGGCCTGCGGACACAATGGGGCGGACAAAATGGGCCTGAAAAAGTTTGCGGACATAATGGGCCCTGTGGACATGATGGTCCGGAACAGACGTACGATCAGCTTTCATTTGTGTCATTTTTTGCTTTTGGCATCAAAATACCGCATCAACCATTTCACGTGAAGTTGAAACTTCTCGCGTCGGTATATCTTTGATCTTGGAAACACAGATTCTCCCTTCCCAAGTTTAGGCCCCCCAAAAATCTCATGATTCCGGTCAGGAGCTGGCTCAAAAAGTAGAGTGCAGCAACGCGGCTTTTTTCCCCTCACTTCTTTTCTGGAAGTGAAGGACGTATCCGCGCTATGTCCATTGCGACTGCATGCGCTCGTAACAGTGTGCGCTACAACACAAAAATAGACTGGCCTGGCACTTTTTACTTTTTAAAAGCATTTTTCATCTGGCACGTGTACACAGGACATAAGACCACCTCGTTTGTCTGGTTCCCAGATGTAAATGTATAATGCAGAAATGACGCCATCTGAAAAAGAGTGCCCGACTGAATGTATTCGGATCCGGATACTTTTTGCCTCATTTTAAAGCTTTAATTGTGCGACTAGCACAATTAGAGACTTTTGATGGTGGCAAACTTTAGCAGTGAAGTAAGCCTAGACAAGTACGCACATTATGTAATACTTTTCCACAGTCTTGCTGAATCCTGAATGTTTTTCACTGCTGGTGAAAAACAATCATTGAAGTTCCTTTTTTCTAATCACTGGGAATTGACAGGAATTTGTCGATGAAAATGGTCGCTTTAAACAGCTTAGTCTTTATTTCTTGACGTCCAGGGGTCTTGATGGCCTGGTATTTTCATGTCCCGATGTCTTGGTGTCTTGATGTCTGGATGTCCTGATGCCTTGGTGTTTGGATGTCGTGATGTCTTCGTGTCTTGATGTCTGGATGTCCTGATGACTTGGTGTCTGGATGTCGTGACGTCTTGGTGTCTTGATGTTTCGATGTCCTGATGTCTTGATGTTAGGATGTTTCGATGTCTTTATATGTGGATGTCTCGACTTCTTGATATCCTGTTGTTTTGGGGGACATCTGGGTGATGAGATTGGTTGTATGGGACTGGTTCTGAAGTTCTGACAAATTTCCCCTGATGTCCTGATGTCTAGATGTCTTGATGTCCTGATGTCATGATAGCCCTAACTGCATCTAGGGCCTATGCTTTTGAATAGATAATTAAGTCGAATAATCTCCACTTTTAGATAGGTAAAAAGTCCCATTTAAATTTGAAGAAATCTGATTCAGATAAAAATAATGCGATTTCTTTAAATCTCCCCAATGCGCGCAATCTTGACCGTGACCAAAACATTGTTTGGTATTATCCGCTCCGAGCTGAGGTGTACCCGCAATCGGAAAAATAAAGACAGGTGGTTACAAGAGGGTGTTTGCACGCGTCGTGCATGTACGCAAAGACCATACATACCGGAGGTATGTATCAGTTACGCGTACTCAGCGTGTTCTGCGTCAAACGCGCATATACTTGCGCGCCTTATGCATGGCGCGCCTATGCGATGAGTACCAAAAATCACGCCCTCTTTCGTTCCACTCAGAGCGGATTAGTCAAGTTTTTATACGGTGTGGGTTGATACATTCTTCGTCGACGTGAGATACGTCAGTGGTTAGTGTTTAGTTTCTTAATTTAATGGCCAAAGTACAGTATGGATTTGAAACGTCTATTTTGTTTACTCACATCACAAGTCCTTTCGTCCTGCAAAGTATGAAAAATGGATTTTTTGACTGTTGAAACATAGGTCTAGTAATTTGTGAAATAGAAAAAAGGACCTAATCGACCAAATAATATAAGTAAGCCGCGCGTGCATGCATATTCTATGTCCGAAAAGAAAAAACTAACTATGCAGCAAGTCTTAATTAAGCTGTTTCCAGTTATCGTCTATGCTTTATCATCTGAAATTTTTGATCTCAAGATTGCTTTTACAATGGAGCATACTGTTCAAAACCTCCACCCATGTTTATTTAGCCGTGCACTGTCACAATTACGCTATCAAGAGTCTGATTTCAGTAGCTGTCAGTCTGTTGAAATTCTATACCTTTGCGAGGGACCGCTATATTTTTTCTTTGTTGTTAAATGTATTTATTTCTTTAACTTGAAACCACTTTGAAGTACAAAAAAAAAAAAAACCGTTGGAAAGAGATATTGTCAAACATCAAACTAACATGCTTTATTATGGTTTGGGGATATTGGGTTGCTGAAGAATTTGGAAGAAGTGCATATGTGACCCCCACAATAAAAGTCATAATTCAGTTATCGTTCCGTATATATTATCATTCTCTACATTTTTCAATTTTATTCCACATCTTTAACAGAAACTAGGATGTAACAAGCGGGTTGGTTTTCCCATGACCGATGATAATTGCGGGACATGCGGCGGAGACGGTAGTGATTGTACCTTTATCAGCAAAACCTTTACTGCTTCAACGAAAAAGAGTAAGGTTTAAAACGCCGATAGCCTTACGTTACGTACATGTACATAATTTTATGTTTGTAATTTTGCTGTGAAATAAACTGTGAAATGACTGGGGCATTATCTGCAGAAATGCAAGGATGGTTAGTTACTGGTAATCCCTTAAACAAATCAGGAACTACCAAAACATGTTTACATGTGGTAAGCTGCACCGGAGAATAGAATATTTTGTTAATGAATGTTCGCTTTACCTGTCTGTCATTGCAGAGTATCAGAGGGTAGACGTTCTCCCAGCTGGTGCTTGCAATATTGAAGTTACAGAAAAATCCAGGACTAATCATTTTCTTGGTAAGCTCAAGTTAATGCATGTCGAGTACATGCATTTCACGCTGAAGACAAGAAGGAAGAAGAGATTCCATCCATAGAGATAATAATTAACAATCTTTTGAGTCTGTCTATTAAAAAGTTAAATACTTGACCTCCGGTTTTGGTGATGGAGCAGTGGGGCATAGTATGAAGTCACTTGGTAATGTCTCCAGGTTTAGCATTTGGGGAGACATCCTTCAAAAATGACTGTCCATTCTTCATCCAGAAAAGAGTCCTCACTACCAGGAGAGATGCTGGTACATTAGTGGTAAAGGTGATCCGTCTGGCACAAACTTTACTGTGAGTAAATTGATGTTTATTCACTCGATGATATTTATTCATCGAGTGAATGTAAACATACAATACATAGTTACATTGTTAAACATAATTATGCAGAACTCGATACCATCATTGAACGAGCATTATCGAACGTTAATGAGCACACAAAACTAATTCAGTACTATTCATACATTGATTCAAGCACTGGTTTCGTATTATCTCTTTGTTTCATCTTTTTGATTTTACTAGAATCATTCTGATTTTAAAAAAATGTACAAGAGTGATTACCAGAAATATTACTACGTGCACTCATTAGCTGCTTCGGTGAAGTGCCTAAGCACCTACCGCTTTCGTTGTTAGCTGTTTCGGCAGCTGAAGCAGCTTTTAGAATCGTTCCTTTTTTCCTTCATTTTTTTGTGCAATTTTGCGAAAAAAGAAATCCTTTTTGTTCCGGCATTTCCGCAAATTGCGAAAAAGGCCGTCTCCTCCTCCTCCTTCACCTTCTCCCACCTTTGTTTTGTACACGTTTATTCCACCTGCCACTTTAGTCCCTTGGCAAATTTGGATCTTTTTCAAACTTACATCATTGACGGACCCTTGTCTAAAGATGTGCATAGAACAATGACGTCATGATGGCGTCATCTAGTGATTTAATATTGATTTTTTTCTATTCATTTTCTTCTTCTATTCATTCCTCTTCCTAATCTTCCTCCTCCTCTTCCCTTTGTTTTCTACACGTTTCTTTCACCACCCACTTTAGTCCCTTAGCAACTTTGGATCTTTTTCAAACTTACATCATTGATAGACCCTTGTCTAAAAATGTGCATAAAAATGACGTCATGATGACGTCATCAAGTGATTTAATAATGATTTTTTTCTATTCATTTTAGCCCATTGACTTTGTACACGTTTTCGAGACAATATTTTCGTACCTTAATAATCGTTGATCGTCGTCAAACTTAGAGCTAGCACTAACTATAAAACGAAGACAATTCTGAATTATTTACCTTATGATGACTTCATCACGTGATTTATTATTAAATTTTGAATATTAAAATATTCTGTTGAATATATTAAAATCCATTAAAAATTCTGTTTGCAGCAAGTGCCAGGATAAACTGTAATCTTAACCTTGTCTCGTGTAGGTCAAATAAAGTGACCCTTCCTTCCAGTAAAAACCGGGGGTAGGCTTATTGTTTCAAAGTGGTAAAAGTTATTAAGTTTTTTCAACGGAATTAGTCTGTCGGTGTAAGTACTGGGTTGAAATCCTGCTTATATCTTTGAGACGAAGTGTTTTAGGCAAATATTGAGCTGCTTTAGTGATGACGTCACCAATACTTTTTTTTCATGACGGACATTATCGACATTATGGGAATGTCAAATGTTATTAATTTTGCCTCGATTCTACTTTTGGGTTGATTAAAAAAGGGGCGTGACACCTGACGATCTGTGTCCCCAAACAAGACAGGTGATGAAGTCAATAACAACACCACCTTAACCTGCAGATCCCACGGGGCGTCGTTTGCCTATGAATGTCAGAGTAGTTTTGAAGTTTATATCATACAGTACTCCTTTGTGGTTCAAATCTTGCAAATATCTTGAATCGGCTGCTTTAGAGGAAAATTGACCTTCTGTGATGATGACGTCATGAGAAGACAAGTCACGTGACATTAAAGTTTAACTCTTGAAGGCCCTATATCTCCTGATGGACATAAACAATCAGGTTCAAATCTTGCAGATATCTTGAGATAGGGGTGCTTTAGAGGAATATTGACCTCATGCGATGATGACGTCATCAGGAGACAAGTCATGTGACATTAAAGGTGCACTCCTCAAAGCACTATATCTCGTGAAGTACATATTCGATTGGGTTCAAACCTTGTAGATCTCTTGAAAAAGAGGAGTATTAGACAAACATCGACCTGCTGCGGTAAGGACTTCATCGTGTGACTGGTCACGTGACATTGAAAGTAAAGGCCTATTTACAAGCTTATATCTTGTGAACTACAGGTTTGATCGGGCTGAAATTTGGTAGATAGATTTGACAAGTGTTATAGACAAGGTGACATTATGTAAAGGGTGCAAACTTTAATTCTTTATATCTCCTAATTTCCAAAAGTGTGACATTCAAATGTGGTAGTATCTCAAATGAAGGAATGCCCTTGTCTTAAGAAAAAAAGAAAATACGAAAAAGCCCTTTGCTCTGCCCTTGAAAAAGACAAAACCTCTAGTTTTTGCTTCCTTCTTCCTCTTCTGACCTTTTTTAATATTTATTTCACCCCATTGACTTTGTACACGTTTTTGAGGCACTATTTTTGTAACTTAGTAATCGTTGATCGTCGTCAAACTTGCAGAAAGTACTTACTATTAAACGAAGATAATTCTGAAATATTTACGTCATGATGACGTCATCATGTGATTTATAATTACATTTTGAATATTTAAATTTTCTGTTAAATTTATAAAAACCATAAAAAATTGACTGTGTCCCCCCGCAACTTTCTGTTTGTAGCAAGTGCCAGGATAAAATGTGGCCTTCAATTCATCTCGTGTGGGTCAAATCAAGTGATCCTTCTTTCCAATCAAAACCAGACGTGGTCTTATTGTTTAAAAGTGGTAATAAGTATCGAATTGTTTTCAACGGTGTTAGTTTGCTGGGGTGTAGTATTTTTAAATTTTCTACTGGTGACGTCACCTTATTGTCGAGCGCCTTCTAGCAACCGGTTAAAAATTCCGGAAAAATGAATTTTGAATGGATGTCTGTGGCGAAGTTTGTCCTGATTGCCTGAAAATTAATGTAGATGATCATCTATACCAAGTCAACACGTGTGTGAAGTTTGGGGCTGAATACGTCATCAGACCGGAAGTTAGAGTAAAAACTTCTTTTATTCTTCAAAATTCGGTAAAAAATCAACCGTAAGAGATATAAGCGCCAATTGTGCATGAGGTGACAGCTAAAACATTGGTGTCAGCTGCATGAAGTGTACTTTTTCACTCACATGAAGTGCCGCCGACAAAAACCCATAAAATATAAATTTCCAACTCGAAAATCCCTTTAACATGCTGTGTACATGCTACTGTGTGAGTGTTGATGCCCAACATCTGCTGCAACATAAACGGCATACAGTGCATAGGGCATATACCGGAAATTGGCAAAATGCCGACCACGTGCTGCCAAGAACAGATTGCACAAATCTGCACATTGCACAAAAACTGACAAAGGTTTAAAATATCTAATCTTTGCCTTTTCCGCGAGTAAGTGTAATATTTTGTATTGTATATTGTATTGTACATGTGTGATTGGGTTGAAACCGTGCAGGTAGTTAGGAAGGAAGGTTTACAAATGGAAATCAACCTCACGTGATGACAAAACCATCAGCAGACGAGTCACGTAACATTAAATTGTGCCTCATTTAAAGTTCTATATCTCCTGAAGTGTACATCCAATTTGGTTCAAATCTTGCAGATATCTTGAAAAGGGAGTGCTTTAGAGGAATTTTGACCTGATGTGATAATGAAGTCATCAGGAGACAAGTCACGTGACATAAAAGATCCACTCTTTAAGGCCCTATATCTCCTGAAGTAGATTTTTTATCTTGTTGAAAATTTGAAGATAACATGAAAGAAAGGTGTTATATACGAAACATGACATGATTTGATGATGACTTAGTTGTTCAAATATACAAAAGAATGCAAAAAAGCCATCTGCTCTGCTGTCAAACAGACAGATGAGCTCTAGTTTTTAGTTCTTTTTCAGTCCTTCCACCGGTCGACTTTGGCAGTTCACTAAATCTGATCGACTCCAAACTTTGCGCACCTTTTTGAATTTTGAATATTTAATTTTTACATAGACTTTGTACACAGATTGCACGCAGTTTTCGGACTGTCCTATATCAGGCTATGAGGGCGCTATTGCAGAATACGGTTACACCTGCCTGAGGTCTCAATTTTCAACAAACTGTCCTATATTTAACCATAGGTGGCGTTGTTGAACAACAACATTAAGACTATACCTGAGCTTCGATTTTTTGCCATAGGGTTTGTACACACATTCGTCAAACATGATGCTTTAGCAGTCTTCAACTTCGATCGAGAATTACTACCAGAACAAAAGAGAAATCAGACCAAATTTTCCCTTCCGTTCAATTGCAAATATATCCAAAAGTAAGAAAATCGAATTATATTTCATAATTATTTTTTTCCAGTTTAGACAAAAATCAAGTGACATGGAATTAAAGGAGCAGTTTTCCTGCACACGTGTTTCTAACCCATTGAATTTGTCCACGTTTACGCGCCACTATTTTGCAATGTTTGATCGTTCCTAAAGTGATAGCCACCAAAGACCCTGATGCATGATTTATTGCAAGGGGTTAGCTTCATAATGACGTCATCACTTATTTTTACATTAATTTTGGCTGTTTTAATCTTCCCCCGGGGTTTTTTTACACGATTTCAACACCCTGTCTGCGGCGCTTTGGTCAATCTGAATTATTCCCTTCAATGTTCACTTGAAGTCACTTGAACGAAGACAGGCTCCCAAAGGAAAATTTTCATCATGAATCATCAATCATGGGATTTAATCTGCAGTTTTCTCCAAAGGTTTTGTACACGTTTTTCTACTACGCAATATTATCGATTTAATGGCAGTAGTCCCGAAGTTCGGCTGAGAATTACTGCGGACGAAAGAGAAATCGTATTTTTAT